TCTCCTTAACTGAACAGTCGACTTTAAATAAGAAATAAAAAGTCGCAAGTAATTATTGAGACTTGATTAGAAGTGATTGAAAAATGATTGTAGTCATCTGCAATCATAAATCTAGATGGAAATAAAATAAAAGCCCCTTCTTAAGTCAATGTCAATACCGAGAAACTTCGATTTTTGAAATTAATTACCTCTGGGCTTAAGGATATAACGTTTTGCAGTATATTCAGATTGATTCATTCGGATATTGCGAGCGTTTAATTGAGCATTCACGTCCATTTATTTGCCAAATAAGAATACTCGAGCAGTTAAATAGACTTTTTGTAATAATGCTGCCGGTTGGTCTGTCAGTCTAAATAATGATAGGTCCTAATCTAAAACTGAATCACAACCCATTAATCTCAGAAAGTTATCAGGAAGAAACCTGCGAACCAATTGCCCTTATCTCATGGGGCTTTTATTTGTAATACCAAGCTTCAAACTGAACCGAGAAATCCAAATGACAAATTACATGAATTAAAGAATTGATCATAATTCTAGTTCAGTATTCCATGAAATCAAAAATCCCATTGAACGTCATGTTATTAAAGTATATGTTTTAAGGTTGTGCTCGTCTATATACTGTATTATAACGTCTTTAATCACAAGAAATACATCAAAATGATCTAAAATCCCATAATGATTATCCCGTCTTCTAATCTCGGCGTTGCGGCGTGGGAAAGCTCAATTTGCAACTACTTAAAACGCTCAAAGTAGTCCTTTGTAAATCGGTGTTTTTTATGACCACAGTACTTTGTTTCCCGACAAATTCGGAATTTAGCACTATCCTTTATATCCCCAATAAATTCAATCCTTTGAACTTAACGTAGAAGCAATGAAAATAGCATGAATTAATCAATGTAAATCAGATTGACACCATGAGGCTGTAAGTAGTAGAGTAAGGGAGAGTTCCTCCTCATTATATTCCACTTTGGGTGGGGGCTATTTGTCATTAATTATATGGTACTTGGCATTGTATGATTTTTGTGTAAACATTTTCATTATTTTGGGTGTTCGTCCTTACTAGTGTAAACACGTAAATGTTACTCCATGCTAAAGCAATAAAAGGTACGTATATATAGTTACTATTGACTTTTTTACATACTTTGTTGTGAATAATATTTCTATATACAGGGTGTGGTAAAAAATGTTACCCATACTTAACTGGCAAGACTATAATAAGGGTATAGTCCACGGTATGAAATTTCTAGGACGTCTAATTAAGGAGTTGGTGGCACCATATCTGCATAATGATATTTGAGCTTATATTTAGATACCTACATGTGTCCCGCGTTTTATTTTTGTATAGCCGTGATAAATACGGCGGGCTTTTAGGCCAAATAATGCATGTCATTATCAGGGGTCAAAAAACGTGTAAAACGCTTTTTGTATTTTTTTCATAATTTAAAGTACAAACATTAAAAGAAAATCACATGAAAATATTTTTAATATATACATCAAGTTTCTTGGCTATAATTTTGCGGTATGGGTTCCTTGAAATACCTTATATATAAAAAATCAAGGTTTCAACATTTTATGTCGTTTTGGAGATATTGGTGAAGCAATCAATATATTGGCAGCTTTATTACCTGTGAATAACATATGGTTATAATATGTCCGTTTTTTACTAAATTAGTTGTAATACATTTTGAGATATGGACAGCCGTATTCAGGGGTCAATTGCCAATAAAGGGAGACTCGTTGTTCTTCCTTGTCTAATACCGTCTGCGATTGAAAATTGTTGCATATGGTTGAACATGAATTGGTTGCTTATATAAGGACCATATCTTCAACATTTGACTACATGGATCTTTGAGAAATGTCGGCAATAATGTAAAAATGAATCGATGTAATGCATCGCAGTGACAAATATAATTGTTGTTATATTATACTGTTTGTTACACATTAATAAAAAATCAGAATTCTGAAGTAACAAAACATGAACGCACAAGTGGAAATGGAAAAGGCACAGCAACAAATGGAATGTGTTCAAGAGTATACTAATATAAGGGAATATCAAAGCATTAACATGCAAAATGCCAACGCATATTCGTTACATACACCGAACGCCGAATATGTACTGCCAATGGACTTTATGTTGGAAACTATAACAATATGTCATACCACTCTTGGTGGTGACATTAAAAACACTAGCAATCCCAAAGTCAAACGTCTATCAACCCCTCCCGACCCACGAGCTAAGTATAAACATCATTCCCAGACCATTACACCAAGTAGCACCTCATTATACTCGAGTCATTACAACACAAATTGAATAAAAATACAAATTGTGAGCCAATACTCATAACAATACTAATAGTATATTAGATATACAATATTTAGAATTTGGTCTTAATGCTTTGAGATAGATATTATAATTCGTTTAACGTTTAAAAGGGTCAGCATCCCACTGCAAACCTAAAGCCTTCAGTTTTAGCAATTTAATTGACAATGCCTAAAATAATCCCCACATCCTTCAGCATCTCGAGTACATAAACTTAAACGGTCGCAAAATCCAGAAATTATTTTACAAAAAGGAACACTGTTCATTAAACAAAACAGAATACCTCAAATGAAAATCAGTGACTATAGCATTTGGATTCACTCGCATAAACCAATCCTCTCATGAAAGCTCTTATATAGAACTAATAATTCGTTTATAAATCACAGGTAATATTGCCTAACATAATGCATTCGCAAAAAAAGGAACATCTCACATGAAAAATCAAAAACATAATAGCCTCATGAATATACTCACAAACACGAATACCTCACATATAAATCGTAACTGATATAACAACTTCTTCAGTATAGTATATTCCTCGCTTATTATGTGGTACTGTATAAAATGCACTCAAAAAACCTGATACTCCACATCACGCGGTACTATATAACTTCGACCGTTAATTTGAATTTTTGACCTACCAGGTGCTTGAAAATCAAGGATTGCGAGTCTCATACTGCACCGTTTTTCTTCAAACTTATACCATTAAAAGCAAAACAAAATTGCCTTTCTGTCGGTGCATTACTTGATTGTAAAGAGTCCCTCGTTCACGCAGCGTTTTGGTCCCCAGCTGTCGGAAGGCCTTCTTACAGCTGGGGACCAAAATGCCGCTGGAAGTAGGGTCTCTTATTAAGAGAATAATGTACCATCAGAAAGGGATTTTTGTTATGCTTTGAATGGAACAAGTTTGAAGAAAAACGGTGCAGAATGAGACTCATAATCCTTGATTTTCAAACATCCGGTAGGTCAAAAATTCAAATTAACGGTCGAAGTTAGGACCGCGTGCACATAAAAACTTGGATTAATCAAACGTTATAGGATGCGCCTCACATAAAAAAAACAATATGGCATCACAGAGTGCACTATTTGAAAGGAATACCTTTTATAAAATTTCAAATACTATCACTACTACCCACCTAGTTACACAGACGTATCGTCAGTGTATCATGGCTGAACTACTTCCGGGATTTGAATTTGGTAAGATATTTTTATTTCTCGATTTACATCTACTTATAAGTCACGATGTGGATTATAATTTGGCTCGAAGTTATGGGAGATAATCTAGTTTGAGAATGTGTCGATGGTTTTAGGTTTGGTATGTTAACGAAGACGCATTTCACATATTTAGTCCCTCGCTTTTGTTACACTGACGACCGGCATTAATATTGCCAATATTACATTGATATTGGTCGTTCGTCAGTGTAACAAAAGCGAGGGACTAAATACCTGAATTGTGCCTTTGTTAACATATAAAACCTAAAACCATCGACACATTCTCAAACAAGACTATCTTCCTTAACTTCGAGGCAAATTATTATCCACAACGTGATAAGTAGGTGTAAATCGGGAAATAAAAAAATCTTACCGTGGGTAGCAGTGATTATACAGAATATAGAATGAAGTTAAAAGAAACTTGTACTCCCCTAAAATAAAGTGTATGGATAGTACTCACAATTAGCAACGACCCGGGGACAATGACTACCACTCCACATAAAACATTAACAATGATATTGAACTTCACTACTTCTTCAGCATAGAATTTACTCAGAAATGAGTAATACATGGTATTCAAGTATAAGTTAAATTACCTCCTTCATATGTGACATATAATTTCACCCAGAAACTAGTTTTTCTAGCAATACCCGATATAAAGACAAAAGAGATATAGCCTGGGAGTAGCCATTTTGTCCCAAATTCTTTCCAAAATGTCCTGAATATGTACGCAGGAGTGCCAAATGCGAAAGACCAAAAATGATAAAACATAGCAGGAAAATGAAATGTCTAAGATCTCATTGCCAAATGGAAAGAAAATCCAACTATCTCAAATCAATATACAACTTAAAAGGAAAATGTATCTTACAACACTCGCAACAATTCGTAAAAGTGCAATTCGCATGGCTTTGGCGACATAGAGTTTGTGCACAAATGAATAATGCCTGATTTGATAAAAAGTTACAAATTATAAAATGAAGTATGGCTTCCTAAAACTCGAATGGAAAGATCGGAAACGAGAGATGTTGGATTGCTGAAAAAATTGAGAGAACCGGTCTTACAAAAAATGATTCGATGTCGTCTTTAAATACTCGGAGGCTCGTCTGAATGATTGGATGTGTGCAACACTATAAATTTCTCCCAATTCCAATCGGAACTTTGCACAATTATATATAAGTTTCGATTTACAATTTGAGTCTCATAAAATGCACTAAAATGCTCATGAAAACCAAATGGCATTTTAAAAGCATAAGGACATATGCCCCTCCCTACATATCGGTTCAGATGTCGTTATGCATATATGGTGCCACGGATTTGTAATATCTATGAGCCATACCATGGACTAGTACCATTTTTGTATATGTTTGATTAATCTTATTTATATATATAATGTATCCAAAATACTCAAAATTAATATCAAATGGATAATCCAATTACTTGCCTAACACAAATAAAACTTTTTTTTCAGCTGTTTCGGTTGGTGTGAGCGTCTTAACTCTCGTGGCAATCTCGTTGGAACGATACTTCGCCATCTGTCATCCGCTCAAATCTCGCGGCTGGCAGACAATATCCCATTCCTATAAGATAATATGTGGAATATGGGGCGTGTGCCTCATTATCGCATTGCCGATTGCCATCACTACCAAGCTTTCGCCTTTACGGAATGGTAACAACAAATGCATGGAAAATTGGGACAATTTTAAAATATTAGAAAAAGTCTACACGGTTACGTTGGATCTCTTGTTTCTACTACTTCCGCTATTGATTATGAGTGTCACCTATGGGATGATAATAAGGACATTGTATATTGGAATGCAAATGGATTTGAGAAGTAACTCTCAAGGTAAATCACATTTAATGTACTGTATGGATATGAAAAATGTATGCCTGATTTGCCCCCCCCCACTTCTTCAGGCAAATCATTTTTCCCAGATAATCTAGGCCTATGTTTGTAGAAAGTGCAAATCGAAGTTTTCAACTGAAGATTATAAATATTATATCGTATATCGTGACATATAAACTAGAAAAGAGATATAGGTCACTAGAATACGTGATTTGTGCCAGCTTTTAAGAATGCGTACTTTGTTTTATTTTCAGAGGAGACTGAGTTGAATAACCATAAGAACGGAAGGTCACTTGAGGAAAACGATCTTTCCTCAGATGAACTAACAAACGTTACCATGGTGTCGACTAACGACAGTAAAATTTCCAAGACAAACCTGGGATCATCCAAAAATGGGAGAAAGCAGACAAATAAACGTATTCAAAAATTACGTGCCGTAAGACAAAGCAATGCCGAGAAGAGCCTAGAGGCAAAGAAAAAAGTAGTCCGGATGTTGTTTATAGTTGTAGTTGAATTCTTTGTTTGCTGGACCCCCCTGTATGTAGTACAGACCTGGATTCTGTTCGATTTGAACAGCGCTTATAAATATGTTGGACCTTTAGGTCTGAGCTGCGTTCAGCTTCTCTCGTATGTCTCATCGTGCTGTAATCCAATTACGTATTGCTTCATGAACAAAACTTTTAGGCGTTCTTTCATCAACTCTATATGCTGTGCCAGCTACAAGCAGCGTTTTCAGGGGATTAAAAGCGACGTGTCATACTCCCAAACAGGCGCTCGGACGGGTAGGTTACAGGTAAAGGTTAATAGATGGCGTAGTGTTGATGTTGTCACTGTATTAGAAATAGAATTGTGGTTGAGACTGAAGTAATATGACCAAATAAGGATATAATAAAATTTAAACAATTTGATGAGCTCTCCACTCCAGACAATGTTGATCACATACCTTTATAAATTATTCAAGACATTTTTTCCTTTCCAATTCATTTTTAATATACAGCTGTAATTCGCTGTTTGCTTGAGTCTCTGCCCATTGCTTTAGTCTTGCCCCTGTGTTGCTTTTCGTTTATTCTCTTTCATAAACAAATATCATTACAATGGCGCTGCACCCCTGACTCCCCCAAAATAGGATCATTTTAGAATTTGAAGTCAATTAGAGTAACGTACAAGGGGCGATCAAGAATATCATTAAGTTGTATTGTACATCAGCACTTGAGCTCCTCAAAAAAGTTTGGCTTTATTTAGTCAGCACTGAGATTTCCGAATTCATATTTAATGCTTTCATTGGACCCGCAAAACCATCAGTACACGTTTTATATAGAACTAGATTAGTGACGTGTTGTGATCCAATTTACAATTGGAAGTCAAATTTTAGAAATATCAATGTATTATCAATTAAGACAAGTGTAAAGTTGAGAAAAAAACTATAATTAATCAGCAACTATAATTACTGTAAAAATGCAACGTCAAATATTGCCTTGAAAGTGGGAGTTTTCAGTCAAACCCCTGTTGCATGTTAACCTTATCCAAGCACCACTATACTAGAGATAAAATAATGTTTTGAGGATCGATTACATTTTTGATTGCTGCATCCATAGCGAAAATATTACTGAAATTCATGAATTTTCAAATAAGGAAATCAAATGAAAATACGGACGTTTTTGGCCCACTTTATATTTCCAATATTTAATACTGGGGTCAAACATTACTTACTGCTTTATGAGCCCACTGATCCTCTGAAATATTTTTGACATTATAGCCCTGCCATGTCTATTTTCTAAAAATCACAAAAGTGCATACTTTTATTCAAGGAAAACTAAAGATTTTTACAATAATGTATTATTTTTCTATAAGAAGGGTTACCATTCTTATTATTGGGGAGAATTTAAACATGTTTCACTAATCTTTGCACTTTGAATCATTAATAACTTCACCAATTTATAACACATTGTGAATCTTTTTGGAGATATTGTATTTGATATTGTAAGGAATAGATTTGTAGGTCAATTATACAAGTTGCTTGTAATCTTGTCACCCCCTATAGATCTGATTCTGAATTTGTTTTCTAGACTTATGATACTGAACGTCACAACGTAACATAAATAATGAATAAAGAATGCATTCGAATATAAATAATTTAATAATGTTCATACAGAATATACGCAAGTCACAATGTACATCTGGGACAGTCTAACCCATTAGTAACATTAACATATTTCATTTGAGTGTATTCTCCTATTGAAAGGAATGATAGCTTTCGAATTGAATGATATACCTTTTCAAAACCCTACCAATTGCCGAAGTGCTGACAGCTCTATGAATTATTTAGCTATCTGTTTTTTATCCATATCAATTAGTAGCCACACTATATATGTCAATACTAATAGGAGTTATTGTGACTTTAAACATTACATCACTAATCATATTGCCAATTATTGAGCATGCCAATATTGGGATCATGGTGTCGGGATTAAATGAACTATTTTATAGGTTTTATGGTTTATAGCTTATTGTAGAGGGGAATGTTCATTATTATGAAATACCCAGGACAAGTCAACCCCTGAAACATTTATTCTTTTATGTTGTAATGTCCTCGTCACAGTCTCCTGTCAACAACGCATGCACAAAGGCCGATCCAGAAGTCTTGATAAAAATGCTACATATCTTTTGCTTAGTTAAGGAAATCACTTGAAATTTTTAGACAATTTACATAATTTATATACCTATACAGCAGGGAATTTTCAGAATGATTAATTGATAGAACTTTCTGAAATCACAGGATTTGAGCTCATATTGACGTCATAACTCATATTGAAAATCTAAAAAACCAAATCCAACTGTGCAATCCTATTTGAGATAAAACTCAACAAAGTAACTCAAAATAATGTCTTTCTGCATTAATATACTACATTAATACACCCTGGCATCTATCCTCCCAATGTTTGTACACGCCTCTTCAGTTCTAGTGAGGTGTCGACAGCATTCTTGATTTCAACAAATGTTCAAAAATATGAGACACTCGGATCCCTCTTTAGGGCCAAAGTCCTAACACAACAAAGTCCATTATCTGGGAAGTATGGAGAATGTCCTTATACCTAGCTATATTTAACTTTTTGCGGATAATATTGTAGATCATACCAGATTTGTGACATAACGTGTTGTCCTAGTCAAACATGTTTGAATCTGGCTCTGTTCGGTCGCCTTTTCGGATTTGCTTAAAGTAGATGAACTGAAAGCTTAGTGTCTCATGACTTGTCTAATGTATCACGAAGAGTTCATTTTTCTGTATCAAACAGGATTTATAACACAGGCTGGTATCGAAAGATTTGTCCGCTGTGACGGAGCATGGTATTTTTCATAAAAACACTAAGAATGCTTCACGATTTATATAATATGTTTCGTTATATCAAAGATAATTACTTACTCCATGCAATGGATATATCATTTGCGTGTAACCCTTCACTTCTGTTTGAAGTCCAATAACGCTAGGAGTAAAATCTATTAAAAACGGCGCCAGAGTATCAGACTCTAAAATGCACCATTTCTTTTTTAACTTTTTAATGGCATGATATAGTGACACGATAATATTAACATATGTTTTCAGCATAACTCTGAATGTATTAATGAGATATTAATGCATTGGGTCTTTTTAGTTTTTTTATAAAAAATAATATTAATATTTTTTGTCCGCTGTGACAGAGCATTTTCACAGTTCACATTTGCAACTGCTCCGTCACAGCGGACAAAAAAATTAAACATTATTTTTTATAAAAGAATTAAAAAGACCAAATACATCAACACCTCATTTATACCTTCATAGTTATGCTGAAACCATGTGTAAATATTATCGTGTCACTATATCATGCCATTAGAAAGTTAAGCAAGAAATGATACATTTTGAAGTATGATACTCCGGCGCCATTTTCAATAGCTTTTCTTCCCAGCGTAATTGGACTTCAAACAGAAGTGAAAGTTACCCGCAAATGATATATCCATTGCATGGAGTTAGTAATTTTGTATGGTATAACGAAACATACAGTATGAGTTAAAAAATAAATCGTGAAGTATTCTTAGTGTTTTTATGAAAAATAGCATGCTCCGTCACAGTGAACAAATATTTCGATACCAGCCTGTGTATAATGATTTCACACTCGTGAGAGGAGGACATCAACAGCAGTTACTGTTAAAACAGACATTTGTAAAATTACGTAACCTTGTAATGGGGTTTTGATCATTTGTTCAAAAGAAACCCAATTTTAAACATCACACATTTTACCCTGTCGTGCTATAGCGTTATTGAGGTTATCATAGCAACCATAACTTCTGAATCAGCAATATTCATAGCCAGCATCTAATTTTTTTATAACTTATGAGGGAATAAATGACCCAGTTACATTTTTATCAGAACTTCTGGATCGGCCCTTGTATTTGATGTTAAAATTGCATTTCATATGTCTACACTTTAGTAATACTTTGTCCTTGTATTGTTAAGGGTGTGGTTGAAACGGGGCACTTTGTTTCAGTTAAAAAAAACACGAACGATCATATAAATACACTGTACCATATGATAATTTACACATAAAGCTTGAATGTACTTTTTAAGGTCGTCGTTGACTTTCAAATATGTTTCGAACAGAACTGCAATTGCTTATCAAATAATATGACTTCTCGTGAATTGAACCTTTGGCAATTTTCAGAAATATTTAACATCTCATTCTGAATTATCAAAGCTTCTCTTAATATAAGGTTCTCTATTCCAAGGGATGGTTGAGACTCTGCATCCCACAATTAATAATATCTTCTAAAGTTGTAGATAATGTGATCGTTTTATTCTAAATCCAGATTCTAATATTTTGGCAATCGTTTTTACTCCACATTTCAGTCTACTCATCTTTGAGCACGAGATCTACAGTAGCTAGGCACAGTGTGGAGAGATCGAAAACAGAGAAGTGCAAAACGTACGCATAGATGACACTCTTCGAAGTAGAAGACCTACTGTAGATAGACACGGGGTATAGAGATCGAAAACAGAGAAGTGCAAAACGTACGCATGGATGACTCTCTTTGGAGTACAAGAACTACTGTAGATAGGCATAGTTGCTGTTCGCCCCAACAATGATGGTGATTATGAGGTGTTAAAACATAAACTCGGGGCGTTAAAACATGACTATTGATGCTAGTATTTTGAGATCGGGACAACTGTTTTTCAACAGAAACGTTTACGTGTATGTAGTGCCACTGCGCTTTGCCTATCTACACGGTGATCTATATCTTCGATACAGTCCATTTACGATCTTTCTATCAACCTTGAACCTATGACCTGGGCACTCAAAAACCCACTTAGGATTTAAAACCCACTTAGGTAGCAACACATATAGAATGAGGTGTTGTTTATTTTTTGGAATGTAGTGGTTATATCAAAAGAAAGTACATTATTTTTCTCCGAAACCGAATATACTTTTTCCCTAACAAAAGATTCAACAATTGAGCCAGGCTACAGGAAAAGGGGTATTTTCTTAAAGAGGCTCTATACCATAGGATATCACAATCGAGACCCATCTGGACCATTTTGCATATTGAGCTTAACCACATATTCACCCATCTACTTACCAAAGAAGAAGTCTCAAAACCCTTGCTTTCAGTGTTAATTTTGCGATTGTGCTGACCGATGTAATTATTTTCACGGAAATTAATTCAGTTTGAAGTTTAAACATACCGGGAAAATCCCCATGTTATCTGATTGGTCGTTGAATTTGTTTATCATGAACCTGATTGGCTAGTTGGTTCAAGGCGCGTTTGGGCGCTTGTGTGACTCAACGGGGATTCCCCTCGCTAGCCGAGGAATCGATTCATTGTGTTTAATTCTGGAGGTTGGTTGTCTTGTTGATTATTTCAATATTTCGGAAATAAAATACCCATAAGTTATTCTCAAGATATATCCATGGTATGTGAGATATTATATAAGGAATAACAAAGGGACATCATTAATTACCTGGGCGAGAAACCTATGGTATAATGCATCTCTAAAAAGCACAAATAAACCTTTCAAATGAGCCATAGCTTGTGTCTTAACAATTTTTCCCTGCAGATAAAGACCAAAAGACGGATTTGAATTTAGCACGTTTTCCACTTAACCTTGGGCACATTTTTGGCTCTGTAGCACAATTTAAATGTTTGTGATAAGACCGGTTTTCCTATGGCGAGGCTCAATTAATACATCAATACCATGACCACAGAGTTTAATTACAAGGAAGACGAAGCTATCTTTTAAGAAGCTTTACTAATATAAAGACGTTGGACATCAAGTAAGCAGGGCGTTTGGCAATAATAAGGTTCAGAACGTGTCTCGCATTACAATTTGTGTATTGGTTGTACCCCAAAGGGTTTTATAAACGAATAGATGGAAATTGACACCGTGGGTCTTATTTATCAATGGTCAGCTGCGATCTTTACAATCGTAATGGAATTATTCTCTCTCATGTAGGGCATACAAATTAAGAATATGATCCAAACAAGTGTTAACATGTAATATTACAATTACAATTATTATTGCACGACGAGATGGATGTGTTATATTTAACAATGGAGTAAAACGCTGAAATCGTCAATAGATGGCGCATGACGTCATTCCTCTATTATCGCCCAAGTTCAGTCAAAAAAGTTCGCGGGAAATTTGAATAGAAATCTATAAAAATTCAAATTACTGCCAATGCAATGTTGCATTCTCGAATGCGACAACAGGGAGGGAGCATACACTTTCCCTTGAAAGAGGCAGACGATTTCGTTAAATAACAGTTTGTAAATAACGTTTGCACAGCTCCAACCCGGCTGCCCGGGGATCTCCAAACGATTTCAGTCTGCCGAAAATGATGACGCCAAGGGTAAGTTGAATGCTCGATTCAAAGGCATTTCACCCTCTGATTATCACATTTACAGAATAATCTTGTCCAAAAGAATGAAAAAATAAATTAGACTACTTACGCAATTGTAAATCGTTGTTCCTCACGCTGCCGAAAGTCATCGAATGCACCGAGTTGACCTCCTTCAGGAATGTGTACAAGTGCCAGGATATAAGGCCATAAAAAATAACTTTTTGTTTTCTGTACAAATATGTTGCTTATTCTGAAAGATTACTCCGTCTAAAATGATGACTATTATATTTATTTGATTACTCCATCAATATGAAGACTCAAACCCACCGTTTTATACTAGACCATATGTTTTAAGATGTTGAATATGTGAACCACATCTGATATTTTTAATGACATAATGCCTATGCTTTGTTTGCATTGAAACAGCTGATCGCTAGCCTACTTGCAAGACATCGCTTCAAATGGGCATCATACTAGTATTTTTCATACGTGACACATGGCTCACACAGTCCTTGATGTATTTTCACTTCAGGCAAATCCCTTAGAGTTTTTATAAAGATATGGGGGACTTCACCAGGGGTCTTTTTTACTCTTATCTCAAGATTGTGTATCCCCCCTCTCTGGGTTACCTTTCCTTGTGATTTAGAATTTGAAAAACTGTACACAGAGGTGGGGTACACACTCAGTCTTAAAGCAATACTAATAAATGCACTGAGTTATAATGTATTTAAAGTTAACTAGACATTTTCCCACTTCTGCACTTGGAAAAACAATATGGTCTTTTATTGATTTATTTTTTGCTAAAATCAGGTCAATTGATTTGAGTAGTTGAAAATAATTAGAGGGTTTAAGCAAGGATATTTTTTAATTTTAATACAGAACTAATTTGTTTCAAAGAAATCTGTCAAAGGGATCTACTTAAATTTTTAGAAATGGATAACATGCATCATGTACAGTACAATGCACATGTACACCTGGAAAATATTTAGCCCTTAATTGGATATATGTTTTTTACACCCTTTAAGGGATTTATTTCACATGTTTGACAATAACTCTGCAATCAGATAATTTTTTTCATTCTGGTTTCAGTTTTTAATAGGTAATTCACTTACCTTTCATAATATATATAGATAATTTATGTTGTATGAAAGAAAATATGAGTAAACTTAATCATAAAGAGTCAGGTATCTAAAGTGTTTTGAACATTTTGTAGCATTTACATATAACAATATATTATTTGAATATATGTTTTGGTGATAGTGATGTTCTTTGATCTAGGGTTGTACAAAAAGTTATCATGCGATTTACATCTGGATTGTTTTATCTGAAAGGAAATAGATTAAACAACGATTAAATGAAATTTCATGTAGATTAAGTTATTAAAATTATTACAAAATTATTGCAAAGAATGTGCTCTGGGGTCCAAAATCCATTTAAGAGTTAAACATATCTCATCATCTGACAAATATTTGAATCTCACATGCCTTCTATTGTAAAATTTTATACATGTATACTAGTACTAGGTCGATCAATAAGTTCTGATAAAAATCCTCTAAAAATGCAAAATCAAGTTTTGTGATTCTTTATTTGAAATTTTCACAGAATATGTCAAATGAATACAGCAATTAATGGAACAACTTTCATGCACTTTCCCCTTATTGGACCAAAAATATGGTTACTATGGTAACTCAGGTTTTGGACAGGTGGGGCAGATGATTTAAAGCGCAACAAATGTTAATAAGTCAATTTATAAATATCTTTCTAAGCTGCTTCCTGTATAAACGTCAATCTTATAGTCCTAGTACACTATTTGATATAAATTAGATGCTCAAAATAGTTTCCATGTTTTTGGTACACTTCTCCTGGCATTGAATCAAATGGTGGAACAGGCGTCTGAATGCATTAGGAAACCTTCACAATTATATTCGAAATATGCATACCTTTCACAGATACCAGTTTTTTCTTTTTCCTTGTACATGTTGTACTCATTATCAAATTTTTCTATTGCCATTTTTTAACTTTAAGGAAGCTTTATAGTAAAATTACTGTGATATATATATTGCATTATGTTAGTCTTTCATGTGAATAATTATTCCAAACTGTCATGCTTTTAGTCGCCACTCCTGCTGATCATACCATTCCTTTGGGTTGAACTGATCAATTATGCTCTTTTTGATAGACTCTCTTTTCTTGTGTCACCTGCAATGAGTAATAAGTAATCCTGAATTAACAACACAGTACTAGATATAGTATTGAAAACTACAATAATAATTCAAATGTTGCAGTGCATATTTACATATTACAGATGGCTAACCCAGATCAGTTAACATGAAAGGCATACAAAGTGTTCCCCTAAACTTAAAACAATTAGGCCTAAAAGATTTAATAAATCAATTTTTATATTATATTTTGGATTTTATTTGTGTTCGGAAAAAAGCACAATAAATGCATTACCTGTAATGTTCAATAAAATAAAATAGTTTTATATTTCATTTGAGGATTTTATAAAATGGACTTGTGGAAATCTACCTCACACTTTTAAAAGCTGATAAACAAGTTTTCAGACCAATCTTCAAATTTCATTATGTGTTTAGATTTCTTTAGATTTAAAATATGATTACTTTGAGCAAAATAAACAAAAAATCATATAAACGCACGTACAGTCAGTCAGGCCCGTAGGCCGTAGACAAAAATTGTCAAATTTGAACTACCTTAGGATTTTGAAAAAATGACCCACTTCCCTTGGCAAAAGTAGGCCATGGGCCTGACAGTGCACATTGGTGCATATATAATACTACAGGTAGTATTCAAAATCAATCATAAGAAAAACTTACTAATTTATTCTTAATCAAGTATTCTGTGAAAGGTCTGTCTGTTTAATTTTCTAACAACCCTGGAATTTGCCACAACAATTCAGCTTCCCACATGGGATATTGAAGTTAGCTTCCTTTTCATATCTGTCCAGCATGTTACACTACAGTTCCCTGGAGGCCATCTTGCCATTACACTTCGAATCTGAAACATGATAAAGCTTGAATAAGATAGTATGAAGCTATTTTAAGATTTTAAAATACGTAAACATACATATCATTTTTGAAGGTTCAAAAAAGGGGCCGGACCCCATGCCCCCCCCCCCCCCCCGCCAGTGCATGTATTGTCAAGACTCTTGACATTCCAACTCATCATTACCGGGCAGCATACGACAACACCAATTAATAAGTATAAGCCGCCCTTAACAGCAAAATCAGACGAGGTATTGTGATAATATTCTGTTTTAGGCTG